AGACTGAAGAACAAAAGGACAGCAACTTGTCTGTTCCCCTTCCCCCAATTCCCCAGCACTGTTCCCATCCCCCCAATTCCCCAATAAAAATCTTAAATAAAATAAAATGAAAATGTCTTACAATATAACAGAATGCAAACCATCAAAATAAGATTTTTTTCACATCTTTTCAAGAGCTTGAAGATTTGGTAAATTGAGCAGAGGGCTCAGTTCTCAATCAGTGCTAAAATTATTGGTATTTAGTGTGTGTGTGTGTGTGTGTGTGTGTGTGTGTGTGTGTGCGTTAGTGAATTCGTCTCTCAAGGTTTAGTTTTGTCAAGTTGCAATCTTCCTGTCACATAGGGATTTCCGAGAAGTCTTCCATTTCCCTCTCTAGGTAGGCTACAATCAGGGAAACCCACAGCAAGACTGAGAAGTGGAGAAATCACCCTTTAAAAACTATTTGGTGACACACCTATGAGGATGGCCACAATTGAAATAAAACACCGGATTGTTTCTTGCTTGGAGGCAACCTCTGCTTTGCCTATGGAGTAGATCTTTATTCAATAAACTACTTTTGCTTTTTAAAAAAATAGAGAACAGCAAATATTGGTGAGGATGTGGAGAAATTGGAATGCTTGTGCACTGTTAGTGAGAATGTAAAATGGTGCAGCGTTATGGAAAACAGTATTGCAACTCCTCAAACAATAGAAATAGAATCACCGTATGATCCAGCAGCCATATCCCGAAGAAAACAGGGACTCAAAATAGATGCTTGTACACCCATGTTCATAGCTGAATTAGCCAAAATGTGGAAGCAACCCCAGTATCCATTGACACATAAATGGATAAACAAAATGTGGTATGGACATAAAATGGAATTATTCAGCCTTAAAAAGGGAGGAAATTCTGATACATGCTACAATATAAAGATACTGTATAGATGAACCTTGAAGATATGCTAAATGAAATAAGACAGTCATAAAAGGACAAATATTGTATGATTCCATTTATATGAGGTACCTTAGAATAGTTAAATTCATAGGGACAGCAAGTAGAATAGTGGTTGCCAGATGCTGGAGAGAGGGAGAAATAGGGGGCTATTGTTTAATGGCCACAGAGTTTCTGTTTGGAAAGAGAAAGTTCTGGAGGCACATAGTGGTCATGGTTGCCCAACAATATGAATGTAGCTACTGAATTGTACACTTAAAAATAGTTTAAATGACAAATTTTATGTTATTTGTATTTTACCACAATTTAAAAAATTTTTAATCACTTTGGTGTTTACTGAGTACATATCACTTACCAGATACTTGCATTATCTCTGCTAAATGCTTAATATGCATTGTCTCCCAAAGTTTTTGACTGCCATTTTAACCTCCAAAGTCGATTTGCCTCCACTTTATAAACATGCATAAGTTAATCAGAACTGTCCCAATGTTGATGAAATTTCATTTATATTGAATTGCCTATTCAATTTCTTTTTTTTTGTACAGTGAGAGTTAGCCATTTCTAATTTTTCCCATTTTAAATTTTGCTGAAATCATTTTTGTGTATATCAGTCTTTTCCTGGGCAAACTATACAATGAGGGTTTAATTCATCACCCAAATTTGATCCATACCAATTTTTACTAATTCTTCACATCTGCCAATGTAGTTTTATGGATCCTCATTATTTCTATCAAGTACAATTTGATTCATGGGATTTTTTTTTTCAGTTTTCAATGTTATACATAAAATGTGATTTTCCAATTTTTGATTGTCTAAGAATTTTACTGGGTGGAGTAGCCATTTTCAGCTTTATATTACACTGATTTTTTTCCAGTATTAATTATGAATTGAATAATACTGATAGAATTATTATCAGAGAGACTTTTATATGTGGCAGAATGCCCACAATTATTTGTTTAATGCTAAATTTATTAAACTTATAGCTAATAAAACTTGAAATCAATCTTTTGGGTATTTAAACATTGTTTACAAACTTTATTAAATATCCTTAAATTTTTAAATTGCAATAAAAGTTTTAGTATGGCCAATTCTTATGAATATTTCAAATATCTTAAAGAACAGACAGAACACAAAATGATAGTTTAGTGTGAAGCCAATGACATTTAAGCTTCAGAACCCCTCACTTTCCCAGCGTCTTCCAAGGCCCCTTTTGGCTAGAATCTAGATTCATATTTACTTTTTTTTTTTTTNAAGTCGCCTGGCCAAGGTCACCCAACTTAGAAGATGCAGACTTGGGAGCAGGAACCAGGACTGACTCTAGGGCCCATGTTCTTAAGCCCCTGGCACTAATGAAGATCAGAGTGAATTTTTATAGAGCATTTACTGTGTGCCAGGCATTGCCCTCAGCATGTTACTAGATTCCTTCCAAAAACGCTAGAAAGTTCAAGCAGGGTTCCTCAACCTTGTCACTATAGACCTTTTGGGCCAGATAAATCTGATGTGGGAGCTGTCGTGTGCACTGTAGGATGTTTAGCAGCATCCCTGGCCTCTAACCACTAGATGCCAGTAACCCTCCCCGTTTTGATAGCCAAAAATGTCTCTAGATATTGCCAAATGTTCTCTGGGGGACAAAATCACCTAGCTGAAAACAACTGATCCAAAGACACAGCCAACCCAAGGTGACCCTGACCTATTTTCTTCCCTTTCCTCAGTCCCTTGATGCTGGGGGTCTGCCCCCATTGGTCACACCCAACCAGAAGCTTGTGGCACAGAAGCCCATTGATTTAGTTCACATAGATCAGCTCTTGGGGCACAGAACTGAGTGGAGAAGGGTTGACAATGGATCTGGAGGGGCAAACACACTTCATTGTTATTCCCATTATATAGGTGAAGAAACTGAGACAGAGAGGTTAAGTGACTTTCCCAAGCAGCACAGCTAATAAGAGATAGAGCCAGAACTTGAACCGAGGTAGTCTGGCTCTAGAGCCTTTGGTCTTACCCATGATGCTCCTCTTATGGGAAAGATGGGAGAGTGAAGTGAGGGGGACACAGGCGTATCTTGTCAGAAACAGGAGATCTCTTCATATTTTTCCTGGCTGTGGTGTCTGTCCTAGGTGCCTTCTATTCTGAGAAGTTGCCAGGGCCGACTGGGCGAATTGTGGTCCTCAACACCAACCTGTACTATAGCAACAATGAGCAGACGGCCAACATGGCCGACCCTGGCCAGCAGTTCCAGTGGCTGGAAGACGTGCTGACCAATGCGTCCCGAGCTGGGGAAATGGTAAGGGCTCCTGCCTCCTCTCCTCCCTCTCTGGGTTCACTTCCTGAACAAGTCTCCCACCTCAGCACAAACTCAGCCACTCTCTCGAGATTCCCACATCAATGAGTCAATGAGTCCTTCATCAGCTTGGCACGAAGAGNCCACAGCTAAGATGCTGAACAACAGCTCAACCTGGAGCTGGGCTGCTGTGAGTCGCCGGCGATGGCGTAGGCTGCAGCCCCTGTGGCAGTGAGTTGCCATGGGCTACTGTATGTAGCCAGCAGCCAGCGTGAGCGGCCAGCAGCCAGTGACTGATGTGCCTCGCCCGGGAAGAGGTCAATGATGGTGCCAACTTGGGACAGTGAAGCAATGTCCTCCACAACTAGACTGAAGAACAAAAAAACGACAGCAACTTGTCTGTTCCCCTTCCCCTAATTCCCCAGCACTGTTCCCATCCCCCAATTCCACAATAAAAATCTTAAAAAAAAAAATCTTAAAAAACAAAACAAAAAAAAAAACCAAAAAAAAAAAAGCCAGCCCAGCTTAGAGAAGACACAAATTATATGGTATAATTTGAGGCTTCCCAGGTTTCATCACTAGATATTTATTCTTTTGGAGCAGTCACTACTGCTGCAAAGAGAAAATTCAAGTAATTATTCTAAGATCTTTTCATTCCTTTGCTCCAAAGCTTTCAGTGGCTCCCCATGACCATAGGAAGAAGTTCAAGGTCCTTAGAATAAGGATTCCCAACTGGCACTAGCACAGTTATAATTTTACATTTATCTGTATGAATTTTCCAAAAGCCTATTTCTCTCACTAAATTATAAACTATTTTTGTTTATCATTGTTTGCCAGCACCTGGCACAGTACCTGGCCCATAGAGGTTGCTTAAAAAATATTTGTTCAATGAATGAGTGAATGAATGAAAGCAAAGGATCAACGTGTCTTTGCTTTAGAGTGACTGAACTAGATGTCAACATTCATAGGTTCTGTTGTGGCCCCATTCTTGAACTTCTTGGACTAAGCCCTCTGTGGACTTGAACCCCAGGCCAACCATAGCTGCAGCCTGGCTTCCCAGAGGCCCTGAGACCAGAAATGGACAAAGGTCATGAGCATTTGAGGGCTGCCCCCAACACTGCCCAGGGTTTTGCTACAGTGTTTGTTTCATATGCACTGCTCAGGTGACAGGACTGAAAGGGCTACAGCAAAATCATGAAGAAAGCGGGCCTCTTACAGCTTTTATACAAAATGCTTTTCTCTAAGAGTGATAGGGATTTTCTGGAGATTACAGTTGCACGAGTCAAATAAGTGCTATGGGCAATTTGAAGAGGGACTGTTTTGTACTTAAGGAGGCAAAGTCCCAACCATTGGGATTTCTTTGCCTCACTTCTTCCAGTAAACCCAGCACAGATGGGTCCAGCAGGTCAGGCTGGGCCCAGGAAGAAGCCACAGTCATTTAGGTAGTAGGTTCCTAGCAGAGGGCTGAATGGGGGCTGAAATCACCCCCCGGCTCCACTCTGAGCCCTGGATGTATCTGTCTGGGATGGAGACACCTTTTTCTAATTCACACAAAGGCCTAGAGCAGGGGTCGGCAAACTTTTGAGATGGAAGAGCCACAAGGGGTCAGCAAACTGCGGCTCGCGAGCATGTGGCTCTGAAGTAAAATTGAAAATGAAACTATCATAGTTTCATTTATAAAATTTTTAAAGGATATTATTCACATTATGGTGATTATGTAAAAATATATTTGTGGCTCTCAAATAATTTTTATTTTTTTATTTTTATTATTATTTTTTAAATTATTTTTTATTGTGAAATACACATTTTTTAGAATTAGTTTCAGCTGTACAACACAGTGCAATAGTTATACTTTTTACCCCTCGAGGTGACAACC